TACATTAGAGGTTAGGAATCAAATAGATAGCATATTAGGAAATCTTCACCACACATGTATTTGAGGAATGTTCTTGATAATTAGTACTGTATGTATATATTATTGCAAATACAATTGCAATAAGAATGTTAAACTTCTAATCTTCTGTTCATTCTTGAATTTGAAAGTAAGCTTGGCTACTGATATGAATATAAAACTGCAGCATTACTGGATACTATTAATTATTTCTGGTGTAAACCATGATTATTTATGTCACTGATAATTTAGTTGTATATTACGGTTGATATATGATGATTTTATATTTAATTATATTAAACAAATACAAATAAACAAACTTGCTAGTATTTGTTACGTTGACAGTTGTGATAGATAATCAAAATTCAATTCAATACATCAATACGTCATTCAATACGTCATTAATGTGACAGATGTCAAACAAAAGGAGATTATACACGTTATGATTCTATATCAAAGTCTATAGAAAATTTATATAATTTTCTGTTATTTTATAATAACTGTAGGGGAAATATTGGAATTATTTATATGAGAAATTTCACTTAAATGATATGATAATTATTTAAAGACCTAATTTCTTAGGGATTTAATCATGATGATTTAAACACTAAAACACTTGTTTATCTGAGAAATCCTCTTAGTAAATAGGTTTACTAAGACACTAAAAGGAAGTAGATATAGTATAACTATAGTACAGCTACAATAATTGTATGGGACTTACTGGCCTTTCTATACAAATATATATTTAATCTATATCTTTCACATTATAATTATGCAATATATTGCCTCTACTACTACAACATACACAAATAGGACTTATTGTCCTTCCTATATACCTATATATAATAATTGACCTGGCACTTTAATGTGTAATTTATCAGTACTTATGACAACAACCTATTAGGACTTATAGTCCTCTCTATAAAGCTACATAATTATTTAATCTGATTATTTCACAATGTGATTAATCAAACCTCTACAAATATTACAAAAGATCTCTATTACTCTCAACACAATAATAGCTTGTTGGATTTAGTGTCCTCAAACTTATAGAAAACCCAACTGGTTATTTCACGAGACGTTGTTAACTTGTGATTAATCAGTGTCTTTTAAAGGACTTATAGTTCCTTTAGATATATCTCTCTGAATAAATAATTGGTTAATTCACAATGTGGTTAATCAACAATAATATTATATATAATTGACTGGACTTATAGTTCATTCAATAGCACTCATTACTTTTAGTAGCTCTCGACCTATGGGTTGGACTACTCGTTCTTAGGCTCCGGCTTAATCAACAGATTTAACTTGATCCTTGAGTATTCTTGGTATTAAGTAAATAATATTAAATTGACAATGCTATGTTATGATATAGCAATTATCAACATTATATGGCTTGGCCAATTCCAGGGTGTGGAAGGTATCCCCTATCACACAAATCTTCATCTCTATCGGACTGTCTTCACAGGTGATCTCTAATGTCACATTATAGGGCCGAAGGGTTATGTCCCAACAAAGTAAGTTCTGGTGTCTGGGTGATCTCGCTTCTTGGTCTGATCTCTTGTGGAGCCGAAGGGAAACCCCATTGAGTAAGCTCGTAACAGGGTGACGCTGGGAAACAGTTTCGTACTGTTAGTGGGTGATCTCTATGTCGCCATATAGGACTGAAAGGGTCATCGCCCATGAGTAAGCTCTCGTGTCGGAGTGATCCTGGGATTTCAGTTCCGATCCGTTTGCCTCTGGCAAACACTAATTTATACTGGAAGCATCGTGGGGCTGGTGGAGCCACTGTAATGTTGAAGTAAATGTACTTATGTTTGGTTTGGAACTGAGAATACTCATTCCCTTATTACCATCAGAGTGCATTAATAAATAGTAATACCCTTCCCTACCTTTTAGGAGGAAGAGTTATAGATAGTTGGAAAGTCTTCCACTGGTCCGGGCGTGTGAGGGGCCCGACCGCTCCCCCATTTTTTTTTATTATTACAGTTGTTCTGTAATTTACTATTAAATTAACATAACTTCCTAGTTACATGAATTATGAGTATAATTCATTAATTATTCTTAATCCTTAAATATTTATCAATCATCTTCATTATTTAATTCCTATCATATACCAATTAAAGAACCTTTTGGTTATTACACACACAATGGGTCCTACATTACTAGACGATCACACATTTATTTATCTGGCCAGATGATCAAGTGTTCTACTAAAGATCTGTTCAATATTATGTGTTTATTGTAAGGTTTTTTTTAGATTTATAAGATGTTTAGGGTGTATAAGGTAATATAGGTATGGGCTATATTGAGGGTGTTAGGCCTTTCTTTAGGGTAGATTTTCATTATATTTTCATAGATTTCATTAGGTAAAGCCTTCGTAGGTGTTTCTTAGGCTTTGTAGGTTTTCCATGTGTAGCTTAGTTTAGAGGGTAGTTATTATATGAGGGGTGCAAAAGGGAGGGACCATCACAAGCTTCGAGAAAAGCGGATCAACTTTTTCATACAATTGTGCGTGATAAAAAGTTGAGTGTGTCCTTTATAACTTCTATGTTTAATTTTTTATAATTTTTGCAACCTTTTAATGCTTAAAACTCATTTTATTTATTATATATTTAAATATAGATACGTCAAAATACATTATGTGCGTTAATATATAAAACACTGATAAAAAAAAAGTCAAGTTTTTGTCAGTTAATTTGATAATTAACTGACAAAAAGTTGACCCGTTTTTTAACTAGATGCTCTATATATATATATATATATATATATATATATATATATATATATATATATATATATATATATATATATATATATATATATATATATATATATATATATATATATATATATATATATATATATATATATATATATATATATATATATATATATATATACCAAAACCTCTTTATGAAATTTTGTGTGCATATCGAGTAGGTCTGAGAATCGGCCAACATCTATTTTTCATACTCCTCTATCATAAGGGTGACCCACCCTAAGTATTTTTTTTTATTTTTTTGAGATACATTTTTATTTTGTTATGATTTAGCATTGAAAAATACATACAAATTCAAATTTTCATGCTTTTACGATCAACCCCTGTTGTTTAATCGCGATTTTTATATTCCGCAATAGGGTGGCAATCGAATATTATAATTGTAGTACGATATATTTTCATGTATAGTTCTAGAAATAATGTATATGGTAAAACAACGTTTACCGAGCCAACTAGTATATATATATATATATATATATATATATATATATATATATATATATATATATGGCACAAGCTCAAAAACTTAATAAAAAATATTTAAAAAACCGATAAAAATTTTATTACTTACTACTATTTGTGAAAAGCACAGAATCTACGTCAAATACAAAACATGCACTTTATACTCGTATCACAAAAGTGACAAATAATCATACAACCTGTCAATTGCAAACGATTACTGATGTTTATGGATTCCTAGAATAGCATGAAAGTCACGTGCGTATTGCCGACCCTGAAAAATCCTTTAAACGGCTTTTTTGAAGAACCGCGTATTGCGGTCTCAAGAGAAAACCTCGGTAGGAAACTCATTTCACAGTATTTTTCTAGAATAATTAATACAAAGTGAAGTCACTTTGTATTCTTTAAAAAATAAAAGCGACCAAAGCTACCATTACGATTTAATTAATTTAAATTTTCACGTGCATTCTAAAAAAAAGCAAAGAGAGGGACAGATAAACTTTTTCAATTTAAGAACACTCGGACCCGCTTGTGACTTGCAAAAGTGACGCTTAATTTTATAGAAAAACTCGCGGGACATTTTTACTTGCACTCTTGCACTTGATAAGATTTATTCAACCATAGATTAAGGTTATCCTTAATTTTATCTGCGGCAATTAGATATTACTATCAGCGTTCCTAATACCTTATTTTCGTTCATACATTTGATATACATTACCTTATCGAATACCTTACTGATACCTCGTAATACATATTATATATTACAAAGGTTCATAAAGATCTTTAGGTATTACTGCTGTAAAAATAAGATTATATTAAACTGTAACGCTCGGAACATAGATCCTATATTAAATTATGATCTGCATCTGTTATCATTTTCATTTAAAGTCCTGTAATTGTGTATTTTGGGTAACAAACGTCTAAATCGCCATAATTTCAAACTAATATGATAAATATTCATATAATTATAATAAGACCAAAATAATCATGATTTATTATTATAATTCACATATGACATATAAATACATACAAAACAGTCAAATTGACTCCTCCTTGAGACCATAACTTAACAACCAGATACATTAGTGATATATAAGTAATAATGGTTTTTGGCTTTTTATTGTACATATGTAAATACTGCATGGTACAAGCACGGAGATCTTTAGAGGAGGAAATATTAACCTACTAGTTATTATATACTTATATATGAATTATGCATATTTTACTAATATAAATGAAATTAAATGTAGTCATGTCCAGGTTACGATCACCGTATAATGGTAACAGCCAATAAAGAAGTGCCTCTGACCCTATTAAGAATTACAACCGTGAGCATATTTATTTTATTATGATGTTGGTATGCTGCCAGGTGATTGGATGCATGACTTTATTTCAAGTTTTCCTTATTTTGCAGTAGGGTATTATGCTTAATTCACGATTGAGATGGATATTTAATTTCGGAAATATTAATTCTAAATTTACATATAAATTGTGTACCTAAATAAAAAGATATATAAATACTGAATTGTTTTAATAGTGTACATATCATAATCATTTTGTTTGCTTAACTAAACATTATATATGTTCATTAGATTAGATTGAATATAAATTTGCATTAATTAACTTAAAACATTCTCGATTACTACATATTAATAAGAGGAAGTGTTTTAAAATTAAAACTGTCAAAATTTAACCAAAGACCAACTTATTAGCAAATATTATATACCTTTAAAAAATCACTTACCTTAGACAAATATTTGCCACAACTTTTTAAACAAAACTTTGTAAATGTTATCAGTCCATTGCTACTTTCAAACAATTTTCACTTATGTTCAACACTTAAATCTTGAAATACAACTTAAACGTAATATATTCGATAGTGTCGAAACGTCCACAATTTGCACAAATTCCCGACTGAATAAGTTGGGTATTAAAGTGACGGTATTAGTGTCAGCTAACCGAGAGTTTCAGCGATATTGCTGGAAAGTGGTAGCAGCTTTTTCCGCGAGGCGGGCGGTCGGCGCGCTGCGATTCGACGACTCGAGCTTGTGCCTATACACAAATTGTGCCGAGAAAAATCAACGTGAACCGACCGCGCCGCCGTAACTATCTTAGTATATAGTTAATCGAGTTTTGAATCATTTAACACTATTCAACTAACATTATTCTCATGCCAAAATATTGATTAATTAAAGCTAAGGAATAGAACTAAACAAATTATAAACGGTCGAGACAGCCGCGATTGCTTCCAAGCGATGGCTCCTTTCATGTTTGATGGATTGTAAAACTTTTCATTGAATTTGAATTGAATGAAATTAATCCGAGACAAAAATAAATCAATCAAGGCGAAATTTCAACATATCATGGATATAAATGAAAATGAGTAATTGACGTTTGCAATCTGTTTACAAATTTTTTTTAGTCAATGATTTAGACACAATTAAGTATTTTATTTACTTATAATAATAACAAATAAATTCTTTAATGAGGTCATCAGGACTCACACAATTTTTATACAACATTCATCATCATCATCATATCAGCTTTTAACTGCCCACTGTTGAACATAAGCCTGTGCCTAGGGGGGTTTTACCAGTAACTGAGACGCTTGGCAGGCGGATTGGCAATCGCAAAGTCTAACTTTGGAAATTTTTAAGAGGGATACTACTGCACATCCCTCGCCCTACCTTAGTCGCGTCTTACGACACCCACGGGAAAGGAAGGGGTGGCCTATTCTATGCCGGGGCCACACGGGAGTTTATACAATATTAATTTATATTAAATTTAAATTATTAAAATAAATTATTAAATTTTCACCAGAGACTTTGTACAAAAGTCGTTTGCTTGGACACCTTTGTCCCATTCGTGTTTCTACTGTGAATCAGTTGTGTTTGCATAACTGTGTTTTAGTTTGAAGGGTGGAATATGGCAGTGAATTTACAGGGTGCAGAGGAATAACACCTGAGTCCTCACGAATGACAACGCATAGAAGGTATAATGACCGAAACAATGTCCAACTAGCGTATATAAATAGCGCAGGCGGGGTTATCATTCGATTATCATCCATTATTTAATTTAAATGTATTTAATTAAAACTTATTTACCATATTGCAGATAGTCAAGGCCGTGAGATATTTACTTATTATTATATAGATACTCTGTGATAGCTAACTTATCTTTGTCTTGTTGTCATAGTGTTAATGGCTCTACAGCGAAATTAATTGTTGAAATTGAATTCTTGGTGGTATTTCCTATTGTTTTTGTAAACTGAATCGTTGATTTATTATTAAACTAGAAATAACCCGCGGCTTTACCGCCGTGTATCAATCTGTAAAGTATCATATGTGTTTTGTTACATTATAATCTACCGGTGTACCAAATTTCGTTCAAATCTGTTCAACTATTTAAGTGTAATTGAGTAACAAATGCACAAACAATTTTACAAACTTTTAAATTTATAAGTTCTACTCATATGAGACAGTCAATTAGTATCATTTGGTACTTAGCTATTCATTTATTTCATTATATATCACGCGGACAATTTTGGAGAATTTTTTTATTAAAATGTTTTTACTAATACTTACCGATAACTCCAATCACGTTAAAACTAGATTTAAACTAACAGGAGTAAACCCTACCGATTGCAAATAGAACACTTAAACTTGCTTCAGAATTAACTAAATATGATATACAATAACACAACAATATAATTTAATAACACCAAACATAATGTAATATAAAACTATAAAATGATATTACGAACATTTATCTAGACGATTAAAAAATGTGCTAATGTTTATATTCAATGCACTAATTTTTCACATCATTCACATCTGTACTCCCTGCCAGAAGTAGGAAGGGTCGCACATCAAAAATTACTAAATTATTTTTTTTTCATGCCATGTTTTTAATGGGCACTAAATCTATATATTTTAGTACCGTATCTATATATCTATCTTAAATTATATAGATAGAATCTCAAAAACGGGTCAACATGTGTTCTTACGCACATAATATATCTTGACGTATCTATATTTAATTATTTAATATATAAAATGTGTTTTTACGTATTAAAAGATGCAAAAACTATAAAACAAAATAAATAAAGAAGTTATAAAGGAAACACTAATCACGCAAAATTGTATGAAAAAGTTAATTCGCTTTTCTCCAAAGCATTTATATGGAGACACTCTGTCTATATAATCTATGATATCTATATAAAGGTACATTTTATATTACATAGGAATTTTATGAAGTTTTATGTCGTCATATCTAGAAGGTATACTATAAATTAAAGTGACTAAAATATTCTTGCTGTGTCTTCGTAACACTTAACTTTATAATATTCTAAGAAACTGCTGCTAATTTGTTTAGGCATTCAACTTTAATTACCGAAAATATACAGCAGGTTTACATTACTAAAAAAACTCGTATTATGCGCTTCAGCAGCTAGATATAATTTGAACGCGAGTGTTTTACGAGTTAAATCCTGTTTAAAGCAAATACTTACCTACGAAACACCATTTACATATTTCTACTGAAACATTCTTGAACGTATATTTTAGTAATGCGAACCGATACTAAACTTGTCGATTTAAGCAAAGAGACCTTTAGATATTGTAAAAATTGTAAGTATGCAGGTAATAGTCTTTTGATAAAATATTCAATATATAAATTCAATTTTAACATATTTACATATTTCAACCAGCAAGGTTTGGCATTCCGTTGTTTCTATCTAACCTCATGGGAGGCGGGTATACGTATATGTAGTTATATATAGTAACCCACTAGGAAGGTCGTAGGAATATAAGGAAACTTAATACTTGATAGTATTCTTTACCAAGACAATATCACATCCTCTCAATTGCTACATTTTTGCTTTTAGTCATGCTTCTTGTTCAATAAGATTGTGCTGTGCCGTTGTAGTATGCTTTGCTGTATGTTCCATTTCTTTCTTATTACTATTATATAGATACGTTCACAAAAGGAAAAAGTATCTATCTAAAGCATTCTTGATCCATTTATTTCATTACTGTTCTGCCGCAAAGTCTAGTGCTTTAAATTTTTTCCTGCATTAAAACCTGCAAGTAATAAGCGTACATATATTATACGAGGTTTGTCCGGAAAGTACGTATAAAAGTTTTTTAAAAATTTTATTTTACAATTATTCAGGTAAATCAATTTTATCCCCTTCAAAGTACTCCCCCTGTGACATAATGCACTTGTGCCAACGCCGTTTCCACTGTGAGAAGGCTCCTTGAAAGTCCTCTGGTTGTAGGTTTCTCAGCTGCCCCGTCGTAGCTTTTTTTATCTCATTTATGTCCCCCAAATGCCGCCCCCGAAGTACCAATTTGGTTTTTGGGAACAAGAAGAAGTCACACGGGGCCAAATCCGGCGAATAGAGGGGGTGTTCGGTCACCGTAATGGAAATTTTACTCAAAAACTCACGGACAACAAGAGAGGTGTGGGCAGGGGCATTGTCGTGGTGAAGAATCCAACGCCCCTCTCGCGCCAATTCTGGACGAACTCGTGCCACACGAGCTTTGAGGCGTCTGAGCACATCGACGTAGAATTTTCCATCAACTGTCTGGCCTGGAGGGACGAATTCTTGATGGACAATCCCCCGAACATCGAAAAAAACAATCAACATTGTCTTGACATTTGAGCGGGATTTTCTTGATTTTTTTGTTCGTGGTTCCCCGGATGTCTTCCACTCTTTGCTTTCACGGCCATTCTTGCCGAGTTTCGAGAGAAACTTGATTACGACGCGCTGCTCTTCAACGGAAGCGGGCTCCATGCCGACGGGGTTTCGTTAAGAGGTAACTTCACAGATGGCGTGACAAGCCAGTTCGCACCGCACGGCGGTCAGACCAGAACTGAAGCATTGTTAGGGACATAAGGAAGGGGTCCTGCGCTTACCTGGCCTCCCCACTCCTCTTTCTCGCATTCCAGAACACTTTTATACGAACTTTCCGGACAGACCTCGTATATATTTATATACCATATTTATACTTTATTGTACAAACTAATTATACATAAAAATATGACAGAGGTAATAAAATGTACAAAGGCGAGTTTAACTATAAAAGAGTTCTCTTCCAGCCAACCCAAAGTGGAAAAGATGTCATATCCATGAAACTAGAATCCACCTTCAATTGCTCCGTAAGATTTCTCCACGGATTTCGAATGCCATCAACGTTCGTCCCTGTATGCACTTGGTGAAGTTGTGAACACCATCTACCGCCAAATGCACTGCATTAGACTAGTTAGATAAAAACGATGTTACTTCAAGAAATTGAATTTGTAGACCTTTTTTACTTTATATTGAATGAACAAAAGTTTATCTGTTTTGGTATGCAAAATTTATGAAGCGGAACACTTTAACGTTTTATCTCTCAAATATATGCCACATTATTGAAAATGAACGAGTTGTTCACAAACGTTGAAGCAAATATACGTTATGAAGTTTTTTTTTTTACTAAATAAACGAACGTTCTACGCAAAAATAGAAAAACAAGAGACTCTCAAATGATTCATCAGCGTTTCAACCATTTATCATTCACTGCTGAACATAAGCTTCATACGTAGACTATTATAAATAATGGTCGTAAGTCATCTGACTTATATGATTAGATATTGAAACATCATCTTTATCTGTATAACTCGTTAAGATGCCTCTGCTAAGCATACGTATCTCAATAAGATGATATTGGCCTACCACGTCACTACCAACCATATTGGCGAAAAATTTAATCAGTGAAAAAAAAAATATTTCGAATTTCTTACAAATGAGTATTTTAGTGTACGAGTATACTTTGTTCCCCTATACACCTCTTATGACATCGTTATTTCGACATTATATAAAATTGTGTGAATAAATAAGTGTTTTCCGTTCTGCTCGTTTTTACCGTGAACAACTATTGTTCTATTATTTTGTTTCAGTGAAATTACATAGTACGCAGTCAACACAATAAAGCTATAAGTGTACCATGCACCGTATTCTATAAAG